CCTTATCCATTCAACAACCAACTTTATCATCCTCTCACAGGCTTCAAATTTCGACATGGACCAAGCTGGCATGAAGCACCAACTCCTACAATTACAACAACTGTTAACATTTGCGAGCCCCGAGCTTGCCAACCACTTAGCGCAGAAAGATTCTGGAAACATGTACTTCTGTTTCCGATGGCTCCTCGTTTGGTTCAAACGAGAATTTTCACATAGAGATATTATGAGGTACGTATTTATTTCTGTTCCTCAGTGGATTTAACAATATTTTACCATAAAAATCTGTTCAGTTTTTAAAAACACTATAAAAATTGAAACGGTTTTTGTATTTATTGAAAAGTGGAAATTGTAATAAAATAAAGTGTTTTTCACACACTGTATTATAACATAACAAGTTACACACGTCGCAATAATTAAGATTTCTTTTTAAATCTTTTTCTGATAAAAAAAAAAGTTAACCGTAAACCTTATGTTGCAAGTGTGTTTATATACATACATATCGCACCCAGACCCGAAATAACGATTTGCAGTTGATCCGAGTGGAAATTAAACCCGCGGCACGTTGCCTAGCCAGAAATTCGATCGAATCCTGATCACATGAATGTAGTTCTAGTTTTTTTAATAAAATATTTATTTCTCTTTCAGGCTATGGGAAGTATTATGGACGTCGTTGCCATGTGCAAACTTCCATTTGTTGATATGTGTTGCCATACTAGACGCGGAGAAGGATATTCTTATCAGTAAAGATTATGGCTTTACTGAGATACTGAAGGTAAGAATCTATGCTATCTATACTAATATTACGAATATAAAAACAAAATATTTGAATGTATTGAAGAGTCACAAAAATTAACTCCCGAATAAATAAAACCACTGTTGAAAAGCTTCGCTACCTCTGTGTACATAGGCTATAAAATACGCGAATAAACCAAGTTGTACAGCGAGTCATTATAAAACTATTTACTAATATTTTGTTAAAAACTTAAGTGCTTCGAAGCTATTCTAGTTGGTCACTGCTGCAAATTTTTACTTCCAAGAGTTGTAGTGGTGCCACGGCCTCGGGTTGGAGCAGGACTCAAAAGAAGGAGTGTGGCGTTTTTTAGTCAGTCTGACACTCCATATTGCTTCATCATCATATTCTCCTTCAAAAAAAGTTTGCAAATAAGAGTAAATAAAACTTGAACAAGCAAATCCTAACAATAAAAATTCCTTCCACAGCACGTAAACGACCTATCGATGTGTTTGGACGTCGACAAAATATTGAGCACCGCCGAAGGGATATACCATCAAGTTGTATCAGCGCCACATCTCACCGACCAGATACGCATCATCCTGGGCCTTCCGACCATGAGCAGTTCCACATCAACGCACTCAGAGTCCGAAGCACCCACGACATCGAAGAGTGAATCAAATGGTACGAAAGAGGACCCAGCGACCGGCATGTTCGGTCAGGAGATGGACGAAGTTATGTATCAAATAGGCTTAGACATGAATTTTTAGGCACGGCGGTGATTATCTGTTTCTTTTATGTATATTTATCGTAGTTTTTTTTGGGGATTGGGTCGCTCTTATTACTTTTTAACTGCTTCTTAGCGTGTGGATATGCTGTATGTATAGAATGCGTCCCATAACTTGGTTAACGCTTTTGCCAATTCTGGATTGTTTCGAAAATATTCTCGAATTATTATAAAGTTTATTTATACTCCTATGACATAGTAGTTTCGGTTTTTTTAATGTGTATATAAAATGTACAAAATATTCTTAAGTATAAATACATATATTAATACTATGTGCCTTCTACTATCGGTCCCAGCCCAGAAATTTAACTCTTCGTAGATATAATTTAATTCGAAATCGAATAATAAATAATGTCTTGTTCGTGTTTTTAATGTTATGGGAAATTCCATCTATTTATTTCTCCCAAAGTTCTTATTTATATTTTCAACCTGTTTCTAAAAACGTGGTTGGAATGTAAATAATAAGTAATGATTATATTAGGATAAAATTTGCCATAAGTGTTGTACATATCTTAATATTGTATTATACTATTGATACATACGAAAAATTCCGCAGGTTTCGTTGAATGAAACGAACAACGAAAAATATAATATAAGTAATTATAAAATAAGATTCAAATTTGTATACAATTTAAGAGACTTAATATCCTGAAAAATATAAGCTATCTTTCTTTGTATGTCTGCATGCAGTAATCTCCGAAACTACTAGATAGAATTTAATAATTGAAATTAGGCCATTTATTAAGATTGGTTATAAAGCATCACGTCACAGCCAATAGGAGCTTTGCAATCGGTAGAACTGGGCGGGGCTAGCTAATACGAAATAATAAAAAGTAAAATGCTTCTAAATTATTATCGAGCGACCCAATCTAGTGCCAGGAACCTCAGCTTGCTAACATTCATTAAGCTATGCTACTAAAAATATACATACTATAAAACATTTAGTACCATTTAGATTATCATGTCACAACCAAAATTGTACTCTAACACAACTCAATGTATTATTTTCCTCAAACCCTAATTATTAACCTAGTTTAGAACTTGCTTTTCTATTTTATACTCAGTAAGTATAGGTTTAAGGATGTTGTTAATAAATCACGCACCAATGACTAAACTGAATCGGTTGTACAAATTGTAAAACAATGTTTTTAATAAGCTCAATAATTTGCATTTTGAACTTTAAACATTTTTTTGCCACTTTTTAATATTTCACATCTTTTGTGGTTAGTGTATATATATAATCATACGATATATATTTTTTCAGTAGTAAGTTTAATTTACCGGATAGAAAAATAGTACAAATTAATATTTTGATGAATACACTGTACAGTAAAAAACATGTTTTAACGACTTAAAGTCGAAATAAGAAGATGACTGGATCGTCGAAAAAGTCAGAAATGTGCGACACAATTAAACCACGAAAATAGTTCCAAATCAACTTTCGACGAATTTGATAACAAAATAAATCGATGCCAAAATAGTCGGTGAAAGACCAGATGAAGAAAATAAAACATTTAAACATATTATGGAATGTTTTATAAATGCATATTCATAAAAAACCGCACTAGGTACATTTACATAATGTGAAAATTGTCATATAATTTTTTTGGGACCACTAATAGCGTTAAAACCACTGCCTATTTGGTCAGCTATATGTATAATTTCCTTGACTTAATAAGCTTGTTATAACACAATTATAATACCCAAGTTATATTGTTATAACTGCACTTGATTGCTTTGCACTGGTTTTTGGATTTTTAAATAGATATATGTAGTTAGATACTTGTAAAGTTTTGCATTGAAATTAAGATCTAAGGTTGCATTCAGTTTGCACAAAGCCTTGTATTCTAATTATCGTTGATATTACCCTAATTAATCTATTTGCCTTGTAAACAAATTGATATCTAACTGCTTGTCAGCAAAAAAAGAAACATTTGCATGTAGCAACACCATCATGCATAATATTTAGTATTGCCAGCGAAAATAACAGACAGAAATATTAAATTGTATATTTTTCTATTTCAGGATACACTCGAATATAACGGATTACAAATATGTATTGTAACGAAAACTGTATGGGCGTTGCTCGCGTAGTAACAGAATGTACATGTTACATTGTCGGTAAACAGACTGGATACAGAAGTGATATTTTTTATATTTTTATAAATACACGCTTTAATATACACGTAAGTTTTGACTCCTGTTCGATAAAAGGTCAAATATTTTATGACAATATTGGTTTCACCAAAAGAAAGAAAAACAACAAGGAACCGATTTTTTTAATTCTCTGTTAGACAGATTGTGTATGTAATGAAATATCTGTTTTACTCAATGAAGTGTTAATTTTCTTAGCCTAATTTGCCAAGCTTTTAAATCATTCTAAATTATTTGAAAATACTTCTACAAAAGAAATAACCCACCAAAATGATTGTAAATAAATTGAAAATATTAATGTGTGCCATTCATTGTTTCTGAAATTGTATTATTATATTATGTTCCTACATTGTGTAAATAGTATAAAATTAAAATAAATAATATGACTTTAGATTAAACAAATGATTTGACAGAAACATGTTGATATTGCTATATTTATAATTTGAGAATTGGGCTATATATAGAAGCTTTATACAAAGTAATCTTATTTACAAGCAATAGAAAGTCAATTAAAACATGTTAGAGCTTGTTGTAACTTGAAATGACAGGCCGCAATCTCGCACCTACCAACACATTCATGCAATTTAAAAATCAAACGCAACACCTATCAAATATTGTCAATGGCCAGTTACATTTGAATATTTGGTGCACGCTTTATGCGATCGCAAAAGTTCTACCATACATTTCTTCGGAGTGTGGTTTGTCATTTCAATGTTAGATAAGCTCTTAGCCATACCTACATGTTGCTTGTTCTGTAAAATGCCTTACGCTCGGTGCTTTCTACTTGAATGGGAGTCAAAGTTACGAATATTGCTGTCTATATATGACAACCTTCTATCCTACCTATACAATAATTATTTTAAAAATAAATAAGTGATTGATTTTGTTTTTAAACAAATTGTATTGTAAGTTAAGTAATCGCTAAGTTCGCCATTTTGTTTCTTTAACTATCAATTGTTTCGAATATAATTTCAGAATGTTTATGATTAAAATTATATTCATTTGTACCTTTTATTTTTTATTGAAGTTTCTGTATATACCTGCACAATTATTGAGGTTTGTTATTTGATACACAAAATAAAATAATAAATCTACTTTAAATTAGTATTTTTTTTATGATGTAAGTAATATCTTTACTACATTATTTGCAATCAATTTATTTTTAAATGCCAAAGATAAAAACCTCGCATTAAAAATGTTTAAATGCATATAGCATAAAATATTATTATAAAATGGTTAAAAGTTTGCACAATAAATTGTCACAAAGTTACCTTGAGTAAATAATAAAATTTAGTTCAGTTTCAATCTGAAATTTTATTAAACATACAATTGCTGGATTTTCAAATTTTAATACCTATAATAAATAGTTACTTATCCTAAACAAATGAGATCAAATTTCATTAAAACCTTTGTACTTTCTTTCACAAATTCAATACATTCATATTAATTGGTGAATGTGATTTCAGATGGACATTCAAACCGTATCTGGTTTGGTATGATTTGTCACAGATATGGCAATGGAAATTTTTAACACCAGTATGGGTCAGGGAGTGCCTCTGAAGTTCAGACTTTGAGAAAAACCGTTTACCACAACTATCACATCCATACTTCTTTTCTTTCAAATGATTTTTCCTTATATGAGAACTTCTGGAACTTGAAGATATGAAGGTAGCATTACACACCTCACATTTATGATTTCTAGTCCTTTTATGGTTCCATAGAATGTGGGAGTGAAGTCCTCCAGGGACCTTGAATTTCTTTGGACAAAATTTGCAACTGTAGGGTCGATCATTGCTATGTGTCAACATGTGGATTCTTATATAACCAGGAGGATATGACTTCCCACATTGGTCACACTGCCGTAAAACCCTTTCAGACTTGTTCTTCTCCTTATTTTCTATGTTAGGTTGGCAAGAGTGTGTGTTCAGTTCATCCTCATTGTAGAACCCTTCCCAACAGTTTTCACATAAATAAGGTTTTAAATGTAACTTTCTATGTAAGACTAGGGAACGGAAATCTTCAAATTTCTCATTGCAGTAATCACAATCCCTGCCAACCTCTGACTTTGTAGGGTGATTGTTTAGGCAATGTTCATTCAGAAGCTTGACTGAATGGAACTCAGCCTTGCACTCAACACAAAATAATAATCGAATTTCATCAATGTTTTGTTCCAACTTTTTAACTTTAGTTTTTTTTATATTAATATGGCATTCTGGCTTTTGGTCATCGGATTCATAGGCGCAGTCGTAATTGTCGCTCGTGGAGTCAAGGAGGGTGAGGTTATCCATCAATGTTTTGGTGCTAGAATCTATCAGTACTTTGAAGGAGTAAGTGATGGTGAGTTGATGAACGCAGTTGATGCAGATGTTTTCTGGAAACATCGGGTCTGGCGCCACCTGAAGAAAGAATAGATTGATTAATTTTCCTAGTGATACGTATATTGCTACAGAGATCAAAGAATATCAAAAGATGGGAAGTTTTCGTAATTATGAAGCGTCTAGGTACAATAAATACAGGCACTTTTACCTTGTAATTATAAAAATTCTGCAGAATATCCGATAAATGTACTTCTTCGCCTGCTATTCTTACACAAGTATGTATATGCCGCATTTCCTTCTCGCTGCCTAAACATGTTCGACACCGATTCTTATAATCCATCAGAATTGTATCGTTTTTGATAGTTGCTCACAATATTGATTGTTTTTAAAGTTTTTTTATAATCACAAACCACAAGCCTCTTTTATTGATTGACTGACACTTCTGACATTTAGACTTGACATTTATTGCAATTGCGGCGTTCAAATATTAAATTATATACTTCTAGACAAAGAACTATTCTCTGTCTATGATTATAATTATAGCTTTCAAAACAAAACAGGAAAAGATAAATTAATTGACAGCTAAAGACAAAATAAAACAATTTAGTTGAAAAATTCAAACCAATAGCTTAATTATTTATATAACTTACAGCTACATAATAACAAGCAAACAATAGTCATGAGCAATACATATATACTTTTTAGGTGATTCAATTTATGGAGAACATTAGAACTAGTAATTGTCTAAATAAAAGTCTGTTGCCGTTCATTGGGTTTGGTTCAAGTTCAACCAGAATCTGAATCTGAGGCGAGGCGACTTGCTTGATGCGCGTAGTAGATAGTAAAAGTCGTAAGAAGTACTCGTAGACTTTCTATAATTTGTTTTGTTGCCACAAATCTTGGAGAACAATAAGAGTTTAACAAGCTATTTTAGCTTATTTTCCTTTTATTGTAATACTTTCATGATTCTTATTATTTGCATGCAAAAAATCTTAAATTTTGATCGCATTTTTAACTTATTATTGACATTGACATTTTGGGAATGGCATGTTGTTTTGTCAAATTGACAGACATGCAAGACAGTAGATTATAAGCAAAAATAATGTTTTTCCAACCACCCGTTGAAGAACCAGGTTGTAGTGTGAATTTGAAAACTACCTCTCGACGGCAAAAGAAATTAAGACGCAAAAACAAGTTGAAAGCAATAAAAAAAGACCAGCTCGCGAGGAAAAGGCTCTCTCGCAATCCAATACCAATCACAATGTCCTCATGGGCTGAGAACTTTACGAGCGCTGCTACATGGCAGTTGAAACACCAAGTGGCCTTTTGGAAGTCACGAGCTACAGCCTTGGAATATGAAAATAAGTTATTACATGATATTATACGTAAAAATTACCTAAACCAATCACAGTCTGACGATACCTCGAGATCGAATTCGGAAGAAGAAGATGAATGCATAGAGCCTGAAGATGAGGTAGAAGATGATGTTGACGGGGAAATAGAAGTGAGTGAAGAATTTATACAGTTTCTTAGAGAAAATAAGAAGTTCAGAGATGATGCAAAGAGGGAGAGAGAGAGATTGAGAGCTAAGAATGATGAGGAACAAAGAGCAATAGAAGCAATGGAGGCTGGACCTACAGAAAACGATGAAGATCCTCAAGAAAGGTTAAAAAAGTTATATGGAGAAAGTTGGGAGAGGATATCTGCCTTGGAAATGTCCATGCGGTCACATTTTATTAACATTTCAGATCGGGAGAAACCAATGTATTGGCCTAATATACCATTCAATTTTAGTTTTGGATGATATTTTATTTTGGTGTAGTGTAAATATGTTTTCCTAAGTAAGAACTCCCATATTGTAAGGTTGACTAACAAATAGTAAAATTGATTAAGATTTTAGTCATTAAATTTACTATTTTGCATAGTTGTATTAGTTTTTTTTTAATATCCTTTTGTAGACTTAAGCGGTAACTGTCATAATTCATTTTTTTATATAAGATGGAGATTAAACCATAAGTCATGGTAATAAGAGATACAATAAAATAAGAATAGGTTTGCAAATGCCAATATTCACTTCGGGTTTAATTAATTATTGTTAAAATTCTATGCCCCAAAAATAAATTGGTGTCTATGTCAACATTATTTGCAACATTCAAGATAAAACTGGTACAGTGACCTACTTTGTGAATGTTTTTTCTTAAATGATTATGAACTGTTGTATGCTTATCAAAGAATAATTTATCATTGTTTGAATGACAAAAATTGTGTTGGATGGAGTATTATGTCAAGAAACCCTTTAGTAGAGATTCACGCTTATTGAAAACCTTGTGAAAACTTAATACTATAAATACATGTAATATGTATACAAATATATTATTATACTACCTTTGCTTCTCTTCTTCATTATTTTAATTCTGTATGGTTTAAAGCGTGTGGATTCTTAATTTCATGACACATAATAATATTCATTTTGTTAGACATAAATGTAATGACTAATGCACATAAACAGATTTTAGGAATCGATTATCAATTTTTTTCTTTCATACATGGCTTTCCCCTAAATAAAGTATAGTAGATTAATGCCCGTTTTCACCAACAGCCCCTAAAATTTAAGTGTCTCTTAAGCCAATATAAGGGGCACTTCTCGCGAGTTTTGTTAACGTTTAAGTGTCACCTATATCATTAGGGGTTCCTTATAATTTAGGGGATGAATTGACGACCCCGTAACGTTTAAGTGACACATAGTGTCAGGTTATTTTGCGAATCACCAAACAGTATTTTATCCTACTGAATAAGATACAAAATAAAAAAAATGGATAATAACCACTATTTATTTGAAGATTTTAAGCAATTGAAGATATGGAATTGTCAAGTAACCGACATTTGTATAGACGACCTCGTATTTATCGTGAAAGATCGAAAGATTTTGAAATATATGATGAAAATGACTTTTTCATAAGATACAGGTTCCCTGCTCAACCTTACTTGTATTTAAAGAAATAAACCTGTGGCACCGATTAACCAATTACTGCGTGGCCTTAGATTTTATGCAACAGGCTATCAATTATTATCTGTAGCAGACCTCAATCCCATCAGTGTATCTACTTGCAGTAGAATTATAAAAAGAGTGTCTGACGCTATCGTGGGTCGTGGCAAAGCGAATTCATACAATTTCCAGACACCGAAGAAAAAAAACAAATAGTAAAAGAAGAATTTTACAGAATAGCTCGATTTCCAAATGTTTTAGGATGTATAGACTGTACACACATAAAAATTCAATTATAAGGTTGGGCGTTTAGAGAAACACAGGTCCTTACGAGTAACCATTTATTACTGAATCTCCTATGAAATAATACATGATTTAATAAGATGGATAGACACGCACACATACAGATACGGCAGATCTTTGTGTCATATTTATTGAGCCTCCAGCGAACACCGTCGTTCGCACACCTATCGTCTTACTATGATGCCTCTTATAATGATATTCAAAAGTCTTTTAATTGTATTAACTAGAAACCTTCTTTACATTTATTCATGTGATAAATTATAGGAGGAGATGATGCCGAACTATTCCGGAATAGAAAAGGCAGTATGTCTATTAATATGCAAACAATAAGTACTGCAAAATTATTAATAACTGATGTGGTGACACGCTAGCCAGGATAAACAACATTCTTTATCTTCCAGTGAAAAATTTTGACCACGTTTCCTCCTTTCTGCCATTGTAATTATGTAATAAAAATTTGGTATTTTTTGAAAATACACGAAATGATTGAAATGAAACTGTCACTGGATAGTGGCATCAAAATGTCACCGGCACCGCGTCTTTGTAAGCTATGGCCACAGTATAAATATCATACAGTATTGTAACTCGGCCGCTTGAAAGAAATAAATACCTACAGCCGCGCGGTACGTAAACATGCGTTAGGGCTGCTCGTCTCCAGTATTTTAATTACCTTTGTCTACTTTCTGTTTCCATTTACTTTTGTGATTGTAAATATCCATTTTTATGTAAACAAATAAAGTGCTTTAAAAATAAACAAACAAAATTTCTTTGGCCACTAATGCCGAACTGAACAGCTGACTACGAATGTTCTAAAATCACAACCCTCAAACATAAAAATATTACATGAGTCTAGCTGTTTTATTGTTGTTATTAAATATTTTCTAGTATTATTCATAAACCCAGTTAATAAACAAATATTATTAATAATAAAATACTACACTCTCTACTTTGAATTATACAAACTAACAAAACATACATGAACCGTTTTAACACAAGCGTAAGTAGGTAGGTACCTAACGTATCATGATTCATTCAGAACCAGAACCGCCTATAACTACCTATTTCACTCGTCTCAATAACTTTATTCATATTATTTATAAATTCAAACATCTGTTTTCGTGAGATAACTGGAAATAATGATCCATAAAGACACACATTATGTACCTACCTAGGCTACTAGTAAGTAAAATTATTTTATAGTCTTACCTTTCAGAGTTTCCAGGTAATTTAAAAAAAACTTATGTCTGGATGCGTTATTGACGAATTCATGCAACCAAACAGAATAACAGCACAATATTTCCTATTCGTCATATTAAATAATGTACTCGAGCTGATTTCTAAATAAAAGACAACACACCGTCCGTTCGTCACTGCGGTACAGCCGCGTCTGTCTGCGTCCCGAGCGCGTCCCGACATCGGGCGCGTAGGTATAGTTCGCGTTTCGGCCGTTTCTATGAAGTTGAAATACTTGTAGATGTTATTACCTTGCTATGGCATTCAACATACAGCCAAAAAATAAAAACACAACTTTTTATTACTAATCTAACATTCACCAGTTCAAGACTCTTCTTTTCGAAATAAATTGAAGTTAGAAAAGTTAATTACTTGTTTTAAGGTTGTATATTTACGAAAATAACAATAGAATTGTCTAATCGATTCATTTATCGATAACTGTTTGCATAGTTCCTCAACACTAAACGTCACCTAATTAGGGGGCTCTTAATTAGGTGACACTTAGGACAGTGAAACAAAATTTAAGTTAAGGGATGATTTGAACGGTCCCCTAAGTTAAGTGGCCCTTACTAAGGTGTCTGTTTAGGGGCTGTTGGTGAAAACGGGCATAAAAATCCCAAATCATAACTAATGATTACGTCATGTTCCAAAAGATGGCGCTACGATGGGAAGTTTCCAAACAAAAATACTATTTTCATTTCAACTTTTGTTAAAACCATTGAAATCATTAAAAACAACTAAATTTTCATTCATGAAATTTAAGATATAGTTGCTTAATATTTTTTAGATTATTCAACTGGAATAAGTTCCTAGTAAAATTATGTCAAGCAAAAATTATGCCGTCCCAAAGTGTTTTTTTAAACGAAATTGACATTTTGGAAAAGTATTCCAAGTGTCGGAAAGTGCACTTCTGATAAATAACATTATTTACGTAGAATAAAAAAAATGGTACAGTATTCATTCCCATTTCTTAGCATTGTGTTAAGGGGAAGATAACACACCATTATTTTATAGAGGGTGTCGCAGACGACGGCGTCACACAGTACACACAAAATAAAATTCATTAATTAATATTTACAGAAAATCTGACGTGTCTCATAAAACGACTAAAATAAAAATCGATTGCACGGTTAGCGCGGTGGCTGGGCAACTTGCTGCGGCGCAACGTGTCGCGGTTTCGATTCCCGCACGGAACAACTGTTTTATGATTCACAAATTCCTGTTCCGGGTCTGGGCGTGATGTCTACTTGAAAAAGCGTGCGTTTAAAACATGCACCCACGACACAGGAGAAAATCCTAGTGTGGGCAACGTTTTTAAAAAAAACAAGAAATAGCGAAAAGTAAGATGCTAGCAACATTAAGGAATTGTTAGTGTATTGACAGCCTTTTGGACTTAAAGCGGATTTGGGAATTGGGGATGGAAGGGAGGAAAAAGGATCTGGTACCTATAGAAAACGTAATCAATTCCCGTTTTTAAAACTCCTTGTTAGAAACCGAAGAGATTTTTTGACCCGAGTACGAGATGCTTGATCCCAGTTTCTTTTCTTTCCAAAATTATACCTTGCGAGTGGTGGGACATTGTCCTTCATTTTTTTTGTGTGTGGTGAGTAAAGTTAGGCTCGTCTGCATCTTTGAATCATGGCGATTACGGTTATTATTACCCTTTATTTAAAAATAAAGCCTTGCATTTTTGAAGGGAATCATTACATCATAAAGAAGACGCCTTGTTTACGAAAGTTTGGAAAGGACCTGCATCCTTGTATTGATTATCTACAAATTTTTTTTTTCTTTAATGTACATACGAAATCACACACAGAGATACATAAGGTGGACTTAATACCATACATATGATATTCTCCCGATCATTTACATATTATTATGGATAAATCCACACCAGCACGTTTTGTATCTACCTAATAATTTTACTCAAAATGTATTACTAACTTTTCATTAGCTTCCTTTACGGAAAATCATTAATAGATCTCACTGCTTAGTATAAAACAAAAGCGGTATATTCCTATGTATGCTTAAATCTTTAACAACTCAACTATGCAATAGATAGCGTTTTTATAGATAGCGTTATGGAATAGGAAGATTTGGGAGAAATTTATTATCAGCATAGCACCCGAGCGAAGCCGGGGCGAGGTGCTAGTTAGGCCTACTTTTATGTGCTATTCATGGCGTTCTTATTGTTATTTTCGTTGGCTGATCGGGAAATTAAATATTGCTTAAGATCACAAAGAGCGTTCTAACTACCGAGTTTATGAACAAAAACTTCATATGATTATGTGAAACAGAGGCTAGTTAGCATTTTTTTGCGCCTGGATTTTTAATATTCTTAAAATATTTATTTTTGTGTATAGTCAATCCTAAGTTGTAAGCAATCGCATCCCATTGCCACTGAAACACCAGTGCGGGCCTC